ACTTCCTTTATAACCTCCTTTAGCTTAGGAACCACTGGACCTCCCTCACCGAAAGGGGAGGAGAAAATGCTGCCCCACAATGCATTGCAGCCGCAGCATTTGCCGTCACTCAACAGTCGGCCGTTCACGGAAACAACCGATTATGACGGAGAAATGATATCATGAAAGTTACGGTGCTTATTAAGCATTTTAAAACGTATGTGGTAAGTTGCCAAAGTGCTTTTTTCTGAACGTTCATCAGTATTATAATCAAAAAGAGAAATATGAACGTTAGTTTTTACTGAAATGATCAAATAAAGTCAACATTTCACAGTCTTTACTGAGCTGTGTGGGGTTTGTTCAACTTCTAAAAGATGTTTGAATGGTGATATACACAGTGATAGATGTTAAGGACTAACGTTTATAATAAATACATTTGTATTGATTTTAAGATATTTTCATAGTTCATACAATCATACGTATTGGGATCATTTGTATTAATGTGGACCGGAGGGAGAGGGTGACGAGCATAAGTTTCACTTTCCTTTTTTATTTCAATTCCAACTTTGGTCCTGAAGAATCTGTTTCTCTGTTGTCCACGTTCATAAAGCATAAAACAACAGCATCAGAGCACGGTGCAGAGTCTCTAGATGAGTTTACAGTAGTCCCTGGTTCTTATTAAACATCCATGTTGTAGTCCGCTGTATAGAAAACTGTAGTTTCCATAGTTTCCCCACAGCAGCAGACGCACATTTATGACGTCCGCTGGAGCATCATAAACACGTCGGATAGTGAAAGTGCAGTCGGATTCTCTAAAGTACCGCAGTCTCTTCTCCTAAGTCCTTTTGAATTCTCCTATCCACTATCCCTTAACCCCGTGACGTTTCACTCAGAGGTCAAGGGATAGGAGATAGGGTTAGAACTTAGGAGCTGATTTGTGGACTATTCGACTGCAGCCTAGCCCTATTCACTTGGCATTCAACTCTGTTCTGCCACTTCCTTTTCTGTACACACGCTGGTTTGTGACTCATGAAAAGCACTAATTCTCTCATTTGTATAAATAGTTTTCAGGTGGTCCCTTGAGGATTTAAATTTAAAACAGTCATTCTGCCAACTCAAATTGTATTCAATGTTTACATGTTGAGAGTTTGATACACTGTCAAACACACTATCATTATGTACACTGCCTTCCATTCTGTGTATTTATATTTTGTATTCAATAGATATACATCATTCACTTTGTGCTTTAATGTGTGTGTATGTATATATATATATCTATCAATCAGCTACCAGACTTAAAGGGAAGGTGAATAATTCATCAGTTGCTGGGATCATTCTGAATTTTGAGAATGTGAACACTGGTTTGTGTTTCTCATTGATATAACATCCAGGTACCATCACAGTGTGCACAGGAGGAAGCACTTCCTCCCTGTTCAGACTCTGCAACAGCAGCGCGTCTCTTCAAATGGTGTAACAGTTTCCAATAAAAATCACTCAACCATTGAACTCAGGATGAATCAGCTCACAGAGAAGTAGCTCGGCAAGGTGACCACACAGCAGAGCTCTTATTATCTGTCCTCACAGGATGATTAAGTGTGTCACTGCTCAGGACCAGAGTGCAGCCAAAATCATCTGCTGTGGCTCTCTATAGCTGATCTTTACTTCATTTGCCATCAGCTGCCTTTGGTTCGGAGCTGTCTCATGACACCTCAACAAGGTTTCTATACATCTGTTCTTAGAGTTCAACTTGACAACAACAGAGCTTGAAAGGAGTAAAACGCAAATAAGTTGCCCTAGTTTGTTGACTCTTTAAGGGCGTTCACTATCTTACTACCGTACCACACAACTAACATGTAGTTCGGATGAAATGTAGGAAAGAAACCAAGCATTCTGTTGTGATATCTGCTAGAGAAACGAGAGAGACTAAACATTAGAGAAGCATTTCCCTCGAAGCCGGGTGAGCTGGATGGTATGGCAGCTCTGACAGCATGCATGAGCGGGGGAGGGGTGAGACAGGCATGTTATATGTCAACTAAAGTGCTGCACGCAACGCTGTGTGTGTGTGCGAGTGAGATGTAGAATAAAGGTCACAGCGCTGCACTCTGCCAGAGTTGTGACCTTGAGCTGCTGACTGAGGCACGTGTGTGTATACGTGTGCGTGTGTGTGCGTGCGTGTGTGATAACCATGCTTAGTGAACAGATGGAGCTTAGAGTAACAGACATACAGTCATTATGACCGACTGACCAGCTTGGTGTGTGTAGCTCTTTCTAACAAGTGCATCATGAGGCACACAGAACTCCCTTCCTGTGCCGCTGACACACACACACACTCTTGCTAGGCTATCCTATTTCCCCAGGCATATTTGCCATCCAATTCTAAACTGCACCATCCCAAGCCACACTGTTGGGGTGTATGTGTGTTAGGGGTGTAACGGTTCGGTACGTTTTCGGTACAGCAGAAAAAATGATCACTAAGCATAACATATTTTTTGTTTTTTTTAATTATTATTAAACTGTGAATAATGTATTCACTCAAATAAATACAAAATATAATAAAATAAACATTAAGGTGCAGCATTTCGATGAACTGAAATAATCTGTATTTGAACTGTACTAGTACCTAAGCAGCCAGTTTGACATTAGGACTTGCTTGTCATTGTATTTTCATGTTTTTTTAAAGAAAAATGAACTAGTCCACATTGCTTGCCAAAAGGGCAGATCTGCTGGCACTAACAATGTCTCCTGCTGTGGAGAACACCCTCTCGCTAGGGACAGAGGTAGCAGATACAGCCAGGTAGCGCTTTGCTAACATGGCAACATAAGGATATTTGGCGTTTGTAATAGCTTTGGCTCGGTCTGAACTCTCTGCGAGTGGTGGAGGCTTACATGCTAGCGGGAGTTGGGTTTGCACTTCAGTCTTTTTTCTTTTGGTACCGGTGATATTCACGTTCGGGTGATGCCTTTTCAAATGAGTGTGATGTATTGCCAGCCGCGTAACCAATTTTAGTTGAACAATGCCGACAAACAGCTTTGATTCGGTCCACCTGTCTTTGTCCTTCATCCTTGTACGTAACTGTGAAACCAAAATGTTCCCAAACCGGAGACTTCAATGATGCTGGAGGATTTTCAAGCTCAACTTTATCTGCGTTCGCCATTACGACAGTTCCTCAAATTACTGACTACATTTGAACGCATCCCTCTGACCAGCTCTCATAGTATGCCTCTCGTCCAATTAAATGACTTGCTCGCTCTATGACGCGTTGAACCCAATGTGAGCAAATTACTCTGAATACTACAACGCAGCACCTGAGATTACTTCCAAGAAGTTGTTCACGTTCTCAATTTTTAACGTTAAACACCGAACCGAAGGGGGTACGGGTACCGTTCATACTTGCCAACCTTGAGTCCTCAGAAATCGGGAGCATTTCAAAACTGACTATCTTCCTCACCCTCTCAGACTTTCAGTTGCGCGCGCTACTAAAGAGACGCGCTACCATGGAAATCAAACAATGGTGTAGCTGTATTAAAGTCCGAGTGGAAACAGTCCTGAGTAAATCTGATTTTGTCAGAAATCGGGAGAAATATGACCCCGGAAGGAGACCGGGAGGGGGCAATGAAATCGGGAGTCTCCCTCGAAAATCGAGAGGGTTGGCAAGTATGGTACCGTTACACCCCTAATGTGTGTGTTTGTGTGATGACAGGGGCTGCGGGGCCTGCAGCGAGAGTCAGGACGGTGAATGCAGCTCGCCCAGGCGCAGCATAGAGCTCACCAGCCAACCTGGCATCTAGGTCAGGAGTGCTGGATAAATTAAGAGTGACGGCTGAAATGTCAACCACAAGAGTCTTGATCTCTCTCTCTGTGTGTGTGTGTGTGGGGGTGTGTGTGTGTGTGTGTGTGGTGTGTGTGTGTGTGTGTGTGGGTGTGTGTGTGGTGTGTGGTGTGTGTGTGTGTGTGGTGTGTGTGTGTGTGTGTGTATGTGTGTGTGTGTGTGTGTGTGTGTGTGTGTGTGTGTGTGGGGTAGTGTGTGGTGTGTGTGTGTAGTGTGTGTGGTGTGTGTGTGTGTGGCCACTAGGGCTGCTATTGTGTGTGAATGGATCAGTGGAGAAAGGGGGCTTTGAGCAACAAAAAAGCTAATGGAAGCTGGGGGGGCACGTGACAGGCAGTGGCGGTGCTGCACACTCAAACAAACATGGATTTTGCCATTGAGAACTGCTAACCTCTATCCAACAACCCCCCACCCCCTTGTTTCGCTAGAGATCTCCCTCTCGAGATCTTTGCTTGTTTTCCCACTTCTTTCCTCTTGGTGTTTCACCCCTCCCCCAATATCTTAATCACCCCCCAGCTTTTTCTTCCTTCCTCTCCACCTCCCTTTTTGTCCAAACTGTCTGTCTCTCAGCACATCCGGCTACACAACATTAACTAAGAGATGACAACCCTGAAATAGATCAAACAAACAGTGGGACACACAGAGAGACAGGCAGAGAGAGAGAGACAGGCAGAGAGAGAGGGAGAGCGGAAAGAGAGGAGACGGGGAAGAGAAAGACAGGAAGGGAGGTTTTCTCTATAGAGGGGGAGATGTGGGAGCAAACGGGAGGAGAGATTATGCTGGTGGCGCCTGTGTGTGTGTGTGTGTGTGTGTGTGTGTGTGTGTGTGTGTGTGTGTGTGTGTGTGTGTGTGTGTGTGTGTGTGTGTGTGTGTGGCACACATCTCAGGATATGCAGCACACAGGAAACAAACAGCTGCAAAAATCCATTTCCACACACACAACCCGGCAGTATAGGACACAAAGGGCAACACACACACACACACTGAACCAGCACCGCTGTGTTTTCAAATGTCATGTGCACACAGACATTTACAGACACTCACACACACTTCCCTTACACTCCAAACACACACTTTCCCCACCCACATGAAAAATAAACACTTGGATGAAATACACCCACACATAAAAAGAAATGCACAGCCTGGATCTCTTTGATACACACACACCAAAGTGTTTGTCTGACGGAGACTCACCTGTACGTGAGGCACTTTCTGTGGGGTGTGAGGGGGTGATGAGAGTGGGTGGGAGGCGGGAGGCACCCATGGGTGGGAGGCCGTGTTGGTTGCAGGAGGTGTGCTCTGCAGGTGGTGTGGCATGTGTGTGGGCTGGGACTGAGCGTTCTGGGTGGGTGGTGCCAAGCCCTGGTTTAGGGCCGGAACTCCATGCGGGCCCATGGAAGGGGCCTGCAGGGGCTGCCCGCTGCGAGGGGGCTGCTGCGGGGTCTGGAGCAAACGCTGGTCCCCCCCCTGGCTGACTGGAGCTTCATGTGGCCCTGGAGGGAGAGGAGTAGATTATGAATTCTGACTTTGAATAAATAATGCCAACAACAACAACGGATTTTCCCTCCTGTCAATTACCAAGGCATAAAAATAGATCGCACACTTCCCTATTTTTTCCCTCCCGGTATTTCAATCACCAAAATAGCAATTGTAGAAAAAAACTGTAATAGAAACACTAGCTGGCTGTGGTAAATCCGTTTTTAATAAGGAATAAAAACAAAGTAAAACATACATTTATACTATATTTTTAAGAAGCATTGAAATAACAACAACAATAGAAAATTCAGTTCAACTACAACTTTCATCAAATTGGCAGAGGGCATAACAGTATCTTTTGCATTAAATACATGAACATTACAGGTCTACAGACAACATCAAGCTTCTGACTTACTACAATAGTAACCATGTGTGAGTCTAGAGGTAATGTAGAGGTTGAACATTAGCTGAACTGTTTTACAACTGTGGTACATCATCTTCAATGTGTACCGTTTCTACGAATGAGAAAGTTGCCCTCAAATATTTCTAGAGATGCTGTTTTAAAATGTCTAAAATGGAAGTGAATAATTTGAATGAATGCAAATACAGTGACCTAAAGTAACACCACTATATAAACATGTGACATCACCAGCTGCCCTGTGCTTACCTTGCTGGAGCTGAGGCATATTTGGCCCTATTTGAAGACCACGCTGCGGCCCCATACCAGGATACATTTGCCCAGCATTGGGGGGCATGTTGTGGGGCTGCTGGTGTTGGGGGTGTGGAGTAGACAGAGGGATTTGGGGAGTTCTCTGGGTCAAAGCGTTGGGTGTAGGCTGCAGGGCTGTGTAGCCTGAAGCCTCTGGGGGTACGGCTAGTCCTGCGCTAGGGGGCCTGCCTTGTTGGGGAGGTGGTGTCGGGGTCCCCAAAACCCTCATGGGGGACATGGATGAAGGGGAGGAGTAAGATCCCTGAGCTGGGGGGGCAAGGTGGGGCTGGTTTTGGGCCTGGGGAAGATTCTGGGGGTGCATAGGCTGCCCTGGCTGCTGCATCTGGGCAGAGAGGGCCTGATGGGGCTGTGGTTGGTGTGCTGGTGCGGGGGGGTATCGCTGCCCTGGTTGGCCAGCTGCTGGGACTGATCCCTGGGTAAACCTCTGGCCGAGCTGCCCTGGTCCCATGGCCTGGCTGGTGTTAGCATTGACATTAGCACCCTGACCCATCCCAGGTCCCATTGCTCCGTACTGTGCCTGATAGCCGGGGTATTGGCTGCCCCCAAACCCTGCCATACCCGGCTGGTGCTGGTGTGAAGGCTGTCGGGAGGGGGAGTGTGGGAACCGGGATGTGTGGCCCATGTTGGGATAGCCCTGGGGTTGTGACTGGGGCTGGGGATGACGCATCTGGGCCCCCCCCATTCCAACATGTCCCAGGTAGTGTGCTGGGTCCTGAGCGGTGGGTTGTGCCATGCTCTGTGGGGGATTTGCCATGCCCTGTGAAGGGTAGTGTTGGTTCATGCGAGCTGCATTTGGTGTGGGGGGGCCTTGCATCCCACCATAGTTGCCTTGAGACATCTGGTAGCCACCCAGCTGATTGGGGCCAGCCCCAGGTTGTGCAGGAGGCTGCTGATAGGCTGATCTGCTCGGCGGCGGCTGCTGCTGGCCCCAGACAGCAGCCCCACTTCCTCCTGCAGTATCACCCCGGGTACCCATGGTGGTTGCTGCCAGAGTTAGCTGGGTTATTATGGTAGTGGGAAGCCAAGCCATTCATTGCCGTGTTCACGTTAGGTGGCCCCTGGCTTGGACCGTTCGGGGACATCATTCGTCCTGCGGCGGCGGCACCAGGTTGATCGTAGCCCGTGTAGGGGCCATGGTCATACATTTGTCCCAGTTTAGGCTGCCCTGGTCCGGGCCCGCCACTGTGGATCATCCCTTGGTGGTAGCCCCTGTTTCCCTGGTGCTCATGGTTCAGAGAGGGATTATTTTGCTGGGCTAAAGGGTTGGATTGCGCAGGGGCCGGCTGCTGAGGAAAGCAGTCTCCTAAACCGTCTAATCCATCAGAGAACAACCCTGCATCGTCCCCAAACAAACTCAACATCCCCGGGTCCGCCATGGCTAACAGATGGAGGGAGTTTTGCTGTGCAGTGATGAGCTAATCAGCTAGCTGCTAATATGAAGCTTGCTATTCCATGGTCCTAGTTCCTGGAGAGAAGAAAGAAAGACAAAGTTGGAATTAGTGCACAAGACCAAATACTCGAGGCTCAAAGTAAAAGCTAAATTGAACAATGAAGGACTCCAAATACAGGCCTCAATGATTTTTCCACAATTGTATTCCCCAAAGCACTTAACCCTTTCTTGATAGTCACAAACTTTAGTTTCCACATTCATAAAGCAGTGCAGAGCTGTGATGGAATCACTTTTCTTTTGCAAATGTATCAGTTGTAGCCATTCAAGTAAAATACATGAACCCATTGATAAATATGTCACATTAGGCACTTTCACACCAAGTACTTTTCCCAGGAATAGTTCCCGGAACTTTTATTTCCTGGAACTATCTAGTAAATTCCGTTCACACCGGAATAAGTCCCTGAGGGAGCTGCTGACGTCACTTCTTCTGCTTTGGGTTTACTGGCAGGCCGCAAACCACTTCACGGCGTATACTGCCGCCCCAAAGTCCCCGGCCGGAAGTCCCCGGAGTTGGGGACTGGCTTCAGTAGAAGCTGCTGGGACTCCCAGCAGCTTCTACTGAAGCCTTCCGAGTAAATCGCCAGAAGCGCCGACACCTCCTCATCTCCACCGCTCCTATGTTTTCTTTTGTGTTGCCATAAGTTAGTCTCTCTGCGTATGTGCGCTGGGCTAATGCTAATGCTAATAATGCAAGCAAATAAAATGGCAGCCTCACAAAAACTTTGCAGCGTTTTACAGGACGTGGTTCGCAATTCGCCCAGCCAATCAGAAATTGGAACCTTTTTCTCCCCAGGAAAGTCCCTGACCTCTAGCAGGGACTAAAAAGGGGTGAAAAGGTTAGCAAAAAAAAGTTCTAGTTCCAGATATTTTTGGTGTGGTGTGGACGCATAATCCCAGGAACTATCGGAACTATTCCTGGGAAAAGTACTCCGGTGTGAAAGCGCCTATTCACACACTCTGAAACACACACTTCCCATTAGCACTGCCCTAAAACCCTCCCCCACCTCAATTTTACTACCAAACAAAAGAACTTACTTCTTTTCAAACACACACTTGGAGTCAGTGTGTGTGTGTGTGTGTGTGTGTGTGTGTGTGTGTGTGTGTGTGTGTGTGTGTGTGTGTGTGTGTGTGTGTGTGTATATTAGAACAAAGGACCCAGCAGATGCAACTCTGTTTGAACAGCAGCAGCTGCCATCCAGCCAGCAGGACAGAGCTTCAGAGTGCACCAGGCAGGCGGCAGCTACTCAAGCCATTCAGCTGGCTAACTAACCAGATGTGTGGAGACAAGGGAGTTAGCCACCTGCTACTTTTCTAGCCTGTGTGTGTGTTCAACTCTCCAAGTATACGGTCAATAAACATGCATTAAGCCAGTTTACTTTTCTGTTAATAGTCATATTTGGGTAAAAGAAAACAAAAAAACATAGGGTGTGTAAAGGGGCGATAAACATCAGAAGGACTGTGCAGCCAGAATGAGTGGCGGGTGGAGGTAGGTGAGTCTTAACACACATGAACGAGTGTGTGTAGGCATTATGTCAGCGACCAAGATGGGAAGGATTTTTCTTTCAATGCATAGAAGCAACCAACAAAACAAAAAAACACCCAAGCTAACTTTGACCAGGTTCTCCTCCCCCTTCACCTCATTTGTTTTTCCACTACATCCCTCCCACTCCTTTTTTAAAATGTACCTTGTTCTCCGAATCAATCCAGAAAACTAAAACGTGTCAGGACTTTATCTCATGTGTAAAGGTACAGAAAAATAGTTACATTTAGTAGCCACTGATCAGAGTATCATTTTTGAATAGACTGCAAGTTCTTTAACCTTTTCAGTAACAAATAGTATAGACCGCAATTATATAGTGCCTTACTGCCTTTTGTTGGACTTAGCATAAACATTCAACAATACATCCGTACACTGGAGAAAGAGGCTTCAATACAAGTTGCAACCTGCTCATCAGGAGCGGTAAACATTCACAAATACACACACTGAATAGTTCCCAAAGACACTTCATTATGTAGGAGCCATAGATCACCACATTGGCCTGATCAGGGGATGACTGCTATACCTCTATACATTTGCATGACACAGGGATACAGGAACAGTCTTCCTTCAGGCTTTTGGACCTTCTGCCTCCACAATGGCTGATGGGAGCATCTACTCTTGTTGTGTAAATAGCAATTAACACCCCCTGCATCCATGTCTCTATGAGCCATAAATAGTCTGTCAACAAAAAAAGACAGGTGCTCAAATGATTGTGGTCACAAACAGAAAGGGCATGCAAAGACATACCATACAAGATCTTAAAGCTTCAAGAGGGCTTCTCAGGTACGGTCCGTTTAAGTGGTGATTCTATAAATGTAGGTGATGTGATGTAACCACTGTGTGCTAATGACCCAGTAAAGCCAACATAGCAAGAAAGTACAACATGTTGTGTTTTAAAATCATCAAAACACAACATTTTGACTAACGGCAATATGAGAGAAACTTGTGTTCATATATATTAACCAGTTAAGCCCCAAGCCATCCAGCTATAGCACACGTACCCCCCCACCTACACAGCAGCCCATGCACCATCACCCCCACCTATACACAGCAGCCAGACCCACTGTCTTGGAAGACGGACAAAGACACTGTCTTTACATTTATAATGAATAGTTGGTTGAAAGTTCTGATGTTCAATATTGTGAAGAGAGATTTTCCAGTTTCTTATATTTAAATAGTTGGTTGAAAAAAACATATTTATAATAAATTGTTGGTTGAAAAAAAAAGTTTGAATGCTCAATTTGTATTTGTACACATCACATGAACCTTGGTATGTAATATGAAGTCATTATTCAGTCCTATGTAATGCTGTGGTGAAAGTAGAGTGATAAACACCTATTTTACTCAAAATTCTAATTGTTTCATTTTAGACATGAATTACACATTTATATACAGTATAATTCAAATATTTCACTACTTTTGTGATCCTAAGACTTTGGTAACCAAATCTAAAACACCAAAACAATTGGATGACATGAGCAAATTTGTGTTTTCACAAGAGTTTTGAAGATGTTTCGAAAATCGGATGTCAAATGTTAAGCTTTTGAGCTACTTATCTCATCACACAGTGCTCTAAGGTGAGTCATTTGCATTTATAGCAAGACCAGAGATTGTCTGATATGTAACACATGGGGTGCCATGTTATAAGTACATTTAAAAAAAAAGGTGATTTAAGGAAACGCCTAAAAATCGAGAAAATACCCTTAGACTCCAGAGGGTTAATGCAACCGTCAACACCAAATGCAACTCAGAAACAAAGGATTAACCTGTTAAATGTTATTCCAGAATAAATGGAGAAAATGTTGGCCTTATAAATGAAATCGTATAAAGTTTCTGTCATCGCTGTTGACCTGTGCAGCATTCTTCTTTTCTTTAATCTCTGGATAGGGTTTGGTTCCAGCAACGTTTGTTTGTAGGGTAATAAAAACACCATTGAAGATCTTCAATTTATATTGCCCATAGTGCAAACTTACATCTCATAAAAGACAAAAACCGCAAAGATAAACCGAAAAGCTGAATATTGTCACACCTGGACACCAAAGGTCTCTAAGCTCTGTGCGGCAGCTGTTACCATTACAGAACATGTGTTGTGTGATACTAGATCAGTGTTGTAAGCAGCAGCACTGTGGAGTTACATCACTTCCTGTCCATTTCAATCACTACAGGAAGATGACAAAAAAGTTCCTGCATGTGAGTGTGTGTGGCAGGTGAGAGTTATTGAGTGTCATTTCACATCCTTTGCAGCAAGTTACAACACAGGCCACTGATTTCCTGTCAACTCGGAGAGAGGCACACTACATTAGACGGTGAATTTTACAATGCAGAAAGAAATTAGCGGTACAAGCACTTTCTGTGTACTCTGTATCTGTAGCAGCCATCATCTGATCAGAGGTGGAGTTAAGACACGAAAGGCAAGAGATTATTTCCTCCACCTGTGTTCCTTAGCATTGCTATGGCCTTTAACCTGTTAAGCCCCAAACCTGTTTTTCAGGCCTCAGGCTCAAAAATGACATTCCCAGAACAATTGACCATATCTTCACTTCTAAAAAGGGGTAAATTAATCATCTTTTTTCTCAAAGTAATGATAAACCTGTGAGTTGGATGAAGAACAAGTCAGAATCAATATAGATGTTTTTTATTTTAAAGTAAATTCAGATTGAACATAATAAAACAATGTAAATTATAGTGTCCGTCCAAAAATAAAAACCATTACTTATTGTGAAAACCACCCTTGAATGATGGGATAGTAGACTAAAAGCTTTAGGAATCCAAACTATAACATATAATAAGTACCCTGTATCAGGATTGATGCAAAACAAGTGACATTTGACCTTTTTAGAGAGGTTTAGAAGAAGAAAAAAAACACTTCTGCGGTCATTTGGGTGGATTTTCCATATCTCTGGCCCCCCCTCGGTCGATTTTGATGATTGACACCTCTTTTGAACCGTTAGAGCCAATAGAATCAAGAGGGAAGTTCCTAAATCCATCTATACATTTCCATTGAGGAGTGAGAGTGATGTGCACGCAGTTTGCCCAAAAATGGAAGCTGGGTTGTAGCGCTAATTGCAGCTAATATGAAATCTCCGTTTTTGACAAAAATGGAAGGATGGATTATCAGTAATCATTTAAAAAGTGACAGACACATTGGATTAACCTTCAGCAGCGTTTTTCTCGTTTTAATGCCATTGAAAACAACTTTTGATCAGAAAAACAGCAAAGGTAAGACATATTTGCCGTTTTGGCTCAGTAAAGCGTTGTCTGGGTTTGCCTGAGCTGCCGCGAGTTTTGGTCGCACAGTGATGATACTTATACCTAATAAAGTATTTTTACCGTGAGTTCTGTGCTAAGTGCGTTAGCATTTTTTCACTCAGGGCTAATTCAGAGGCTCGGCGTTAGAGTTGTTTTGTTTAGAAAAAAATGGTTCATATCGTCAGTTAGCTGAGTTTCTTCCCGTTAAGTGGGTATGACACAACAC